CTTGGAAGCATAGCTTTTGTAGTTGGTTTTGAATGTTTTGGGTTTTGCTTGCTCGAATCTTGATCTTCTGAATGTCAATGTTTTTCCGCTGAAGTGCGGTTTTCATTCCCTCTTCTTCGCTAGGTAGAAGCACTAGCAAGCCTTTTCCCTCGCTTTCATATCGCGCTGTCCTTCCTACCCTATGAATATACGTCTCGGCATCTTCTGGTGCATCGAGCTGCACGACCCAATCTACTGCAGGGAAAATCCAGCCCACGAGCAGCGATATCCGTAGCAAAGAGGACAGGCATGTTTTGTTGAAGTGAATTTGCTGAACATAGTGAGGACGCGCGCTTTGCTTTTGTTTTCCGTGTAAATGAAGAAGCGGGATACCAGGGTGGAGCTTGCAGAAGGTTTCAAAAACAAACCTGACTTGCTTACAGCTAGACAGGAAAACGATGGTTTTTGCTTGAAGGTGAGTTTTGATAAAACTCCAGATGATATCAAGCTTTTGATCTAGTTCACAAACAGTATAATGCTGTTCCAAGTTCTTTGGAGTTACAGAAAGAGTAGACCCAGCGTCTTGAATGCCGATAGAAACAGGATCTTTCAGGGAGAGACGAGCTAAATCGGTGACGGACTGCGTTTGGGTCGCCGAGAATAGAAGTGTCTGTCGCGATTTTGGTAGATGGGATAGAAGCGCCGATAATGTCCGTGAAAATCCCATATCAAGTATCCTGTCAGCTTCATCGAGTACTATTGATAGGTAATGTTAAGTTCGCCAAATCGTAGTTCAATGCAACTAACCAAGCATCTGTAAATTATCGGTTTCGAAGCCGAAAGTTTGATCCATGTGTTGGAGTAGACGACCAGGTGTGGCAACGAGGATATTCATACGGGATAAACGATCCCTTTCATCCTTGAGGTTTTTCCCCCCAATAACCAAACCAGCGGAGAACGTGTGATATCCACCGATAGATCTCAATACGTCAAAAATTTGGACTGCCTAGTCTGCGAGATGAGCCAAGGGGGGTATCGCGGATCTGAACCAGCTCACAAGTTCACGGGTGGGTGAAATGATCAAAGCACCCAGACCATCGATGGGTCCCCATTTGCGCCGATAGAGAATCTCCAACACTGGTATTAGAAAAGCAAGCGTTTTACCGCTGCCAGTTTGGGCCGCTCCAAGTACATCTTTGCATTTCAAAGAAATAGGTATGCTCTTTGCTTGTATATCCGTCATTTCTACGAAGGACGCCTTTTTCAGTCCTGCAAGCTAATTGAGCGCGTGTATTATTGTGAAGATAGTAACGATCACCTTTTTTGGTTTGCTCTGATATTGGGAGGTCAGAGAAGTGCTTGACCTCATCTTGAAATTCCTGTGACAAGATTGTTTGGAGATTGAAGCACAAGATAGTATAGTACTAACGTAATTTATGGCATGTTGGTCGAGGGCATCGATTTTCCGATTGGATTCCAGCCGCTTTGAGTTTTTTGACGGAGGCGGCATGAGGTGAGGTTGTAAAGATCGGACCGAGATCTGTAAAGGAGAGATGGCAGCACTGCCACAGCACTTCACCTCAAAACGTGACGATCACCAGGCGTCGGATCCCACTGCATGCCCATTGGCACACATACTCCTGACCAAGTAGAGAGCATTCCAATGTACCCCTTATACGGCTCACCCGTTGCAGACAGCAACGCCGTAGACGTTAACGCAGGCATAATGAGCCTCTGCAAAGCTCCAACCTCGAGAAGGGTAAGTTCAGAATCAAACACCCTTCACGGCCTTTTTCTGACTCGTCGACCACCAGTGCAACAACGGAAACTAATCACGAAGCTTGCACTGTCATTCTTCCTTTTTGGTCTCATCAATAACGGTTAGTCATTACGCCAAGCCATTATAGGGACTACGAATTAACTGTCTATACTCAGTGCTATATGTCATCATCTTGTCTGCTGCTCTAGACTTGGTTCCACCGTCTACTCCAAAGGGCATTATTGCATTCTGTAATATTGCTCCATCTTTCGTGGCGAAGATAGGATGGCCATACATATTGAAAGGTCGTATACGGTATACGAAACGACTTATTGGATGCTGCTTACTTAGCGTTTCTGGAATGATTGTGCGTCAACCGGGTCTTCTATTTATTGAGCGTGACCCATCGTGGACGATATATAAATTAGATTGTCGCATTGTTTGATAGCTTGTTTATGAGGCTCGTTGGGATTTCCATCGCCTCATTTTCCTCAGGTATATTCGTTCCAGCAATTCTAATGGTTATCACTGACACAAGTTTCAGGTCTGGGAGAGTTGACATTCCTGCAGCTTTCAACTACTTACTCACCGGCGTCGATTGCCGGGCGTTCTATCAGGTATGAGGGGAGATTTTCTGGTTTAGACGATTGTTAAATCTTGTGTAAGCTATTTCGCGTCGGGAACAGGGGCAGCTGGTCTTGTTGGTGCTTTAATTTGGTGGGAAGTTAGAAGTCTTGGCGTTCAGTTGGGTGTGGGTTTGTCTTCGGTAAGACTTTCGACATTGTTCATTACGAGTACTGATGAAATGCAGGTATTGCCACTGACAATACCGCTAGCATACTTCCTTCTCTTACCTGATCCTTCATCATTCACGGGGGCGGATATTTACGAGGACAGCGATGATACATCAGGACAAACATCGGCTTTGCCATACGCACCCCTTCCCACGTCTGAAGATGAACAGCTGACGCTACTTTCCGGTTCTGAGAAAAGCGTAGCGCTTACCGCGGGCGATAAATGGTATTTGGTTAAACCCATGCTAGTGAGGTACATGTTACCATTGTGTGAGTATTACGCGCCATCTCTTCGTATCGTGACTAACGTTGTGACCCACATAGTCTGTGTATACCTTGTACGTACCTGCGAACTCTGTTGTGAATGAAGGCTTACATTGTCACCAGTTCGAATATACGATTAATCAGGTCAGATTTGCTGCGTTTCACGAATTGGGGGCGCTTACCTTGTTTTAGGGAATTGCACCAACACTTGTGTATCCAGTGCCTCCGCCGGATGAATATCCGATCCTGAGCAAGATTATCCATTCTACTCGCGATTATTATCCCTTGTGGCAGGTGCGCCAGGATTATTCATACCAAATATCATCGTGCCACGTTAACTTATCCATAGCTTGTTTATCAAACTACCGTATTCCTTTCCAGGTCTTCCATATCCATTGGGATACCACCATTACCCATCCGTCTACTTCCCTTGCCTTCAATATTCCAAGCTGTTATATTGCTTGCGCTATCACTTGAATCCGCAGTCGGTTTTTTCCCCTCTAAATCAGAAGGCTTAAGTATAGCCACTGTATTTGTGCTTATAAGCTTGGAGGGTATATGCGGCGGATCAGCATAGTATGTATTTAACATATATTGCAAACTCTTCCTGGCTGATGCTCTGTAGCGTTAACGCATTCTACCATGTCAACCAAGAGCAGGCAGATATTGGCGATCCTGAGAAGTCTAAACAAGCGAGAGAATTTAAGATAGGTTCTATCGGATTCGCTGACTCCATGGGTATTTTGCTTGCATCATTGCTTGCAGTCCCGACAGAAGTGAATTTGTGCAGAGCACAAGTTAGTCGAGGCAAGATGCTGTGCAAGGCTCTGTAATGTCCACATCCACATCCGTAATAGGTACATCATGGCTATAGGTAGATGCAGCCCCACCGGGAGTGTAGTTGCGAACTGGCGCGTACTGTGTAATAAATATATCGACAATTCGAAACTAGATGTATTGTACATTTGTCTGATAAATCAGTCCTTCTTCGTCCTCTCGTGATCGCTCTTGGAAGATCCACCCCACCCAAACCAGCTTGATCGTGACGCTGGAGATGGTCCGGCTTCGCTCCCGGCATCTTGTCCGACATCATATCCTTCTATATCACTGGGTACTTCGATCTCTTCAAACCTACCCCCAGAACCATTTGAGTTTCTTCGTTCGCGACGGCGTATATCAGATTCGGAAGCCCCTCTCGACAATCCGAGTGCTGGGGATGCACCGGGCACAGGAAGATGCTCTGGTGACAACTCCGCCCTCTCAAACCAATTCTCCCCACGTACAGATCCTGTATTGGAGTTGGAAGGGGGGTTATAATCTGTGCGCTGTTCTTGTCTGATGTTTGTTGTGCCCGCAGCTGCTTGGCGAAGTAATGCTGCGCCAGAAGCAATGATCCCAGGCCCATATGAATTCCACAATGATGAGACGAGTTGCGCAGGCCCTGAGGCGGGGTCGTGCAGACTAGGTGGAGCACTTGCATCGATTTCTCTGGAGAGGGTGGCTTCCCTCGGTAGTCCTGTCGTCGATGAGACATAGTCCCACAATGCTCGGAAACGTTCTTGGAGGAATGCATACATCCTGGCTCTGAGCGAAGCAAGAGTGGCATCAATTTGCGATTCGTGGGATCTGAAGAAGGGCGAGAGGTGGTTCACATAGATGTAGGAGGATCCGCGAGTTTGTGGAAGTACGAGATAGAGAAGCAATAACGTTTTTAGGGTATAGTAGAATGGAATCCTGCCGTCGCGTCAGCCGTGAGTTCATCCGCTGGTCTAGGTTACATACCACGAGACAAGCCACTCTGCGATGTACTCGATACCAACGACGCAACCTAACACGGACCAATACATAAGCCATCTTTCCAACTCTTCTTGAGAGGCAGGTCGTTGGCTCAGTGCCTTGTACGATGCATAGCCTGGATAGATAAAGGCGCCAATTGAACTACGGCTGTTAGTTACGTGGAGCACCGAAATAGTTAACGACGTACCTGACAAGACGAGAAGTCAAGAAGAACAGCATTGAGACTGGACGAATTACGCGTACCAAACTTTTTAAGGCTGCTTAATACCTCGTGCCAAAGCTATATATGGCAATTTCTCTACTGCCCAGTGCCCACCACAATACAGCACCCTACAGCACCCCACAGCACGCTACACGAGTGGGTGTCTTACACTATTATATGTTGAAATTATTGCCGAATAATTGATGTCTCCGTAGCTAAGTGGTTATAGCATGCGATTGCAGATCGCAGGGTCCCGTGTTCAAATCACGGCGGGGACTGTTTTTGTAACTATGTAACTTGCGCGAGGGAACATCAAAACTAAACACATCTGGCCCTTCAGTAAATCACTCAATCTTTTGGTGCCAAGAACTAGCTTAAAGAGGGATAGGGAAAGCATAGTCTCCCGTAGTCAGACCAATAAATTCGGTCTTTTTTGACGTGATGCACGACGACACTCATATATAGTCGAAATATATTGCGTAGACATTATTAATGCATCATTTAGAAGCCCATCTCAGGGGCAGAAGGTAACTGTATAGGTGGCGTAATGAGAAGAAGGACAAGCCCACAGCGCCGGTTCCACTGGACTCGTCGTAGGCGTAGGCGTAAGGAGTTCGGACAATTATCCTTGAAGTAAGAATAATAAGCGACGCCTATTCCGTTACGTTAGCGATTTGCCTTCTTTCCATAGACGGATGCTCACCCGAGGAAGGGCAGGTCTGCGGAGTGCTGTATTGACCTGTACAGCAGTTGGACGAGTTCGCTTATCAGAGATGAGCCAAGTGTATGGAAGTAGATCAATCAGTAGTAATTACAGGGGTTTCCGTCCAAGTCGGCCTCACATGCACTCTTGCAGCCAACTGGGAAACCTGCTGGGATCGAACGGACCTCGGAGAAGGTGCCGGGCCTAAATATCATTATGTTGTTAAACCTGGGTACTAGGATAAGAGATGATGCACAAACAGTTCGGACCAAGGTCGACAGTACAATCAGCTGTACCACAACCAACAGTATTACTGATACTCGTAGGCAGGTTGTAGCCGTCGACAAGGGACACTTTAAGGAATAAGTGTTACTCTCCTGATGAACTAGTAAACAAGCTTACCGTCGTAGTAGTCTGTGTTTCCGTCACCTGCAAGAGTAAACTCGGCGAGAGTAGCAGGAGGAATGCCCTATTTGCAGATTAGCACGAATGATGCGCTTCACTGATCAACGGGCCCACTCACGGGTTGAGTGCAGACCAGACCACCATTGCATCCACCATCAAGACATGAGTTGGGACCTGGATTAGTGCTAAAATCACAATTGCGTCGCGCCCTATATAATGCTCATGAATTGTCTGGTATCATAGAGCCGGCGCAACTTACCCAGATTCTGCCGGCAGTCCAATTGTCAGGCACCTCGAACGTAACGGATGTAGAGGGATTGGCCGTCCACCTAGAGATCCGATTGTCATATTGCGTTTGACCAATTATTCACAAGGACATACCCAGACGGATAATTTGGAGCAGCGCCAGAACCTGTGTACATCTGAGAAGCGGTCAGACTTTCTGGGCTTCATCTGAACAGGTTCTTGCTTACCGCTGGCCTATTCAGCCCAACATAAGAAACGATTGATGGGGAAAAAGGTAGTCCATACCAAATAATGAATGGACAGCCATTGTAGACCTAGAAGTCGATGCCACAATCCACAACAGGCCTCGATACTCAAGCTAGATCAGATGGCTTACCGTCAACGGACGAGCGGCAGCACCAGCCAACAGACCCAAAAAACCCGTACCGAATAAAGATCCCGGAGTCATAACTCGCAGGCGTGTTACCTGGAAAACGGGCAGCTTTTGCTCGTTGCCAGTATACCCAGCTTATGAGCTCCGTGCCCTAAACGCATGTTTTTCGTGTCTAAACTTAAACGGAAAAATCGGACGGAAACGGTCCCTCCACTGGAACCTCTGGGGGAGCCGAACCTTTCCAAATGAGCTCCTCGACTCCAGCTTCTGAACTGCCTAGAGAATCTATCGATCCGAATGGTCCGTCTGAAGAATCCAACCAAGTCGGAAGGGGAAACCCTTGCCGGGCGACTTCGCTCATCCGATCCCGTTCTCCTCACGACGAGTCCCCGGAGAGTCGAGTCAAATTCGACAAATCCGAACATCCCTGGCTCGTCGAGGACGAAACATGTAAATCGCTCAGCCCACTTCTTCAGAAAACTAGGATGCAACCCCTCGAGTGAGCAAAGGACCTATGAGCCATCATCATTAGCTCGCCTAGGCATGTCTCCTTCCCCGAGTCCGAATGGCTCGAGAGGTCGCGCCGTCAACTTCGACAAAGTACACACCCACCGACTCTCCATCTCTGGCTCCATCAAGGACTCCAGACGTGTCGCCAATGGCATCGACATCGCTATCGGAGATCCTGAACCAACCAAATATATTAGAATCGCACATGACTGGGTCGAAGCATGGTTTATCCGCATCGAAAGACCGAACTGCGTGAGTACCACACATGGAAAGTTAGCGCTACTATAGATCAGCACGTACCATGAAACCGCTCACCATCGCGTCATCACCCTCGATCGGAAAATCAGAATGGAAGTCGCATCACGAAGGGATGTTCGCAACTTGCGCTCAAAGAGTTTCGGAAATTCGAACACCTCGAGATCACGGCCTCGGTCACTACAAAACGGGCTCGGGACTTGGAGGATCAAGCGGACGAGATGGCGCCAAACTCCAAAAGGTCCAAGCGTCATGGAACAACATCAGGGACGCTGTGCCTCTTCCGCATCTCGATGCAACTCGACGAACTACTTCACCCGGGCCCTCACTTGGAACCGAACGGATTAGTCGTGTCTGGATACCATATTGAAACCTGGAGGCCAGACCATGTCATATGCAAAGGAAAACGTCGGCCGCGATGCAGCTCCTAAGGGCTTGAATAAACAGAGTATATGATTGCGGCCTTGCTGTTCAGTGCTGGAGCGAAGCCCCGTTGAATACGAAGTTTGAGTCGGCCCGGGGCAAGATCGCGTGAAGCTTAATCACCTGCTGTGCCGCATCGTCAAACTACTGTATGGAGGTGGAGAGAGGAGGTCGTATGAATAGGTCAACTGAGCTGACTTTCACATGAGCTACTTCGCGCCCGTTTCGCAGTGGATCAACTTGAGTTATTTTAGGATAGGGAGACATACACATGCATCACGATTCAATATATTCAATAGCTGTTGATAATAGTACACATGCCATGAACTTTTTTGCTCGGTGTTCAACGAATTCTAAGTCGTACTGTGTACAATGTTTTTGAAGTCCATGAATGTATGTAAAATGAATGTTCAAATGACAAGGTGGTCGTTACAACTGGCTATAAATCTGTAGGAATTACACCCTTGGCACAGGGGGGGAAATAAAGTCCGTCGTAATGTCTATGTGATAGGTCAGGAAGGAATAGTCCTTTACAAATTGTCGCATATGGTGCATTGGATGCCTAACGAATTTCGCAACAAAGCGGCTAAACGGACACATGTCAGATAAACACCCGGGAAGGCAAAAGTGTGACCCACGAATCAGAATTAAAGCGATGAAAGAACCTATTACCAGAACGTAGAGGATGCCATATTTGACTATCTGATATTGCCTGTAAGCGCTCATCGCCAAAACAATGTGAATAAATATGACATACAATCCACCGGCGTCGCTGTTTTTGCCTCAGGGTAAACAGAGGTGCACGAATCTGCTTTGATGGGCGCAGCCAGACTAGAAAAACACGATGTAAGCACACGCTGAGAAACTGGCGAGTAACGTACAAAGAATGGTTGCATGGAACCGATCGAAGTATGGTATAAGAATAGGCGGCGTGAGCATGAACAGCAGCATGTGCCCGATGAGGAGGTCGGAGCTCCACAAAGATAGTTCAGTGATCTTGACGACAAACTCGCGGGCAGGTTGAGACATAGCGTGAGCGCCGAGCCCACGTCCATACCAGCGTCCGGTCCACCACGCTCTGTTGGTTTCATCGTGTTTGAACTCTCGAGACAGGAACACCGATATCAGCGTCTTGAAGATGGCGCGTTGTATGGCGATAACTGCAATAAGACCTAAGACAGCGTGAGATGTATTCCATCGTTCAAGGAACCACTGAATGAAAGTTATCAATACGCGAGTGCCTTTCAACGCACTAAATTCGTAACGCACCAAAAATTCAAAGAATCCAACCATCCCAATTACAGACAAAATGTGAGCTATCGTCGCCATGGTAGACCCGAATTTAGGGAAGGTAGGATCCAACATTGGCCCCAGGAACAATGACGTGATGAACAGCGTCAATAAAACCCCCGCATTCCATACAATTGGACCAAGTGAGATTACAGCAATCCGAATGAGGGGAGCCGGAGGTATCTTTCCGTTAATTGGGAATGACTTGACGAACAGGTATGCTATGACGAAGAGAGTGGCCATTATGGTAGGGAAGATGACTTCGGAAAAGATGACCGCTCTCCAGCTAGCGCGTGGCACATCACCTGAGAGTTTCTCGGAGGGGTGACCAAGCCTTTTCTTCTTGTATCCTGTTATCATTGTACGAGACAAGCGGCAATACCCAATCCATGAATTATTATGCCACCGCGAATTGCCGCGAGACATCCATCGCAGAAATTCGCTGGTGCCAGAACTAAATCAGTGATTCAACCAGACATTGGAAAGAGAGCATACCGATAATCGATGATGAAATCCGAAAAGATGAATTGATGAGGATTGAATAAAAATGGGCCTACGCAGAGAGCGAGAATGGACACCCAGAAGTAGACCAAGAACGGGGTCCAAATGGTCAACGTCACGTACAATAGCATGAGTAGAGTACGCATGCCCAGGTAGATACTAGGCCCTCCAAAACGCGAGAACAGGATGCTGAAACGGTTGCGTGTAGTTGCAAAACCACGTCCCGTCGCGATATAGCGAGCACCGCCGAAGGTCAAGTTCGTCAGTATTGAGTGGGTGTAGATCTGTGTCGAGAAAACCTCGAAAACGGGAGAGAGAGAACCAAATTGCTTCGCAAAACGGAAAATCGCTTTCCATGTCCCACGTTCAACAAGCTCTGAAGGTAAACGTCATCAGCACACCGTCGCACCGACTAGAATTACGTACCTTGCAGGAACAGCGGCAAGAAGGGGATCATGAAGACAAGCAATATGCTGACAATAGTGCGTCTGATCCACTGGAACACAGGGTCGAGGTTGTAGCATCCAGCTTGAGCTCCTACAACTTGAGTGTACTGGCAGATCGGTAATTGC